AAAAGAAAAATACAGCATTTAAATGAAAATTTCCATTAGAAAGAAATTCTAGTTCATTTTAGTTAAATTCTTATTACTAACATTATATATATTATTAACATTATATATATATATATATATATAACAGTAATAATTAATATAATTCGTATTTTATAATAAGAGTCTTATCTTAAGAATTATACAAGTATTTTTAATGTTTAATTAAATTTATATTTTAGTTTCTATTATTTGATCAGTAATAGGTTATTGATAGCAAGATATAAAAGTAGAGAGAAAGATGATATGTGTCCCTATTTTATTTTTGATGTAATTAGTTTAGTTATATTCAAGTCAATGATATGTCAAATGATTATTGATATCAGAATAAAATAACAGCACTTTAAGAATTAACTTAGAGTAGAAGCTTAAATTACGAACTTCAACTAACGTTATATTTGACATTAAAAAATTTATTTAAAAAACTTTGATATATCTTGTAATAGATTAACATCAATTGTTAGTTATATTTAATATACTACTAATATAGTATTTGATATTGTAGATACGGCAGGGAAAGAAGCTTTGCAAGCGAAATCTAACGATAAAGGCAATATCGACAGGATTTCCACACGAACTTGGGCTCAATCCTGCGACTACGACCCAGAAAAATTGTTCACAAAGCTCTTTCACGATGACATCAAGTATCTGTTGAGCATGGACAATTTGTGGAAAAAGCGCCGATCTCCAACGCCATTAAAATGGAGGGAACTGCCAGATGGAGGTTTATAACTGTCCCTTCTCTCTCCTACACAAATACCTTCTTCCTAATTTTTTCAATGAAAATAATATATTATTTTTCTTGAAGTGGCTGGATGCAGCAAAGAGATCAATCAGCCTGGGCTGAAGGATCAGCAACGATGGAGCATTTCCAAGTGCGGCTCAATTTTTGCAGAATCAATTAAAACTTTGAACCAAATATTGAAGTCTTCTCAAGAAAAATCACCAGGCAATCATTTAGTTTGGGATAAAGATGACCAACATGCTATGGATTTCGTTGCTGCGTGTGCCAATATTCGTGCACACATCTTTGGAATTCCTCAGAAAAGCAGATTTGATATCAAATGTTAGTAACAGTTCTATTTAATCTATATCTTTCTTAAAATAGGTTCCTGAAATGGGTTACTGTTTATACTATCATAATCATTAATTCTGCAACTTTACAAAGTCAAAGTATATATAGAGTAAGATTTCGTTTTGATTTAGAATTGAACCCAGGAACCATGGAACGTCATTCAGCATCTCGTTCTTTCTCTTCAAAAAAAGTTACATATTATACAATAATAAAGCTATATTCAAAAACTAAATATGGTCAATAGGCTCGAATGAATAAATCTTAGTGAACAATTTACTGTAAAGAGCCAACACAGGTTATTAATGGATATTGATGTTTGTTACAATATTATTTCAATAATTTATATTATTATAACAAACATCAATATCCATTAATAACCTGTGTTGGCTTTTTACGGCAAATTGTTCACTAAGTTATATTCAAAGTTGTAAAGTCCAAATTAGTTATATACAATATACACACTGTAAGTAAAAAAATTTGAATTATTTTTTAAAAATTAACATTTTTGGGCTTAAATATTCAAATATTTATTATAATGTAATTTTTTTGAATAATTCTTTAAATTTAATAACAATTGTTGGATCTAAAAATTAATTTAATGTTATAAACATTGTAATAAAAAATATCAAAAATGTGTACTTTGAAAAAGTATTTCCAAATTTTTAACTTGGAATGTATATACGTCTCATTTTGAACATGAAATTTATTCGAGTTGCTTAATTACTAGTCATAAAATCTTTAATTCCAATCTATTCTTTTTATTCCTTAGCAATGGCTGGCAACATAATTCCAGCAATCGCTACCACCAATGCTATCATCGCGGGCATGGTGGTCCTCCATGCCTTCCGAGTTCTTGAGAACAATCTGCGAGCCTGCAGATCTGTCTATTTACGCTTGAAGATGAATCACCGCAATCAACTGCTGGTTCCAGAAAAGTCAGTGAATCCGCCTAATCCACAGTGTTATGTTTGCGCACCTACTCCACAGGCTACACTGGCAGTTGACACTTCCAGCATGACTATTAAAGAACTAGAGGAGCTGGTGCTCAAGAATAGACTCAACATGATCGCCCCTGATGTAATGATCGATGGGACTGGTGCAGTCGTCATTAGCAGCGAGGAAGGCGAAACGGAAGGCAATAACGACAAAAAATTGGAGGAGCTAGGAATCAAGAATGGAACGATTCTCAAGGTCGACGACTTCCAGCAGAATTATTCGTTGACCGTTTTTATAGTTTACCGGGAGAAACCTGGTCCAAAAGACGATAGTCCACAATTTTTAATATTGGCGGATAAGAACGCGCTTCAACCAAAGGAAAACGAAGAAGAGAAAACGGAGAAGTCTTCCAGCTCTAACGGACAAGTAAGCACGCGGAGAAATATTTCTCTTAATTACTTTGTTGTTTATTTATTTGCTAAAAAAAATATGTTTTTGCAGAACGTGATAGAAACATCGGAGGTAGCTAAGAAGCGCAAAAATAATACCGAAGCAGAAGTTGTAGCTAAGAAACGTAAGATAGAAGTTGATAATGGTGATAATAATGGCGATGATAGTGACGATATCTGCATTATCAGTAACGACGACATACCTCATGATAATTTGACCGAACCGAATAAATTAATGTTGAGGAAACGAAAGCTTTCCGATGATGGTGATTGCTTGATAGTATGTGATGATGATAACGATTAACTCTGAAAGTAACAAACGGAAAAAAGGAAATAAGATTCGTTGGAAAGAACGAAAGAACTAAAAACATTTGAAGTTCAATTTGAAACGAAAAATAAAGAGATAGGAAACAAAAAAGATTTTGAAAAGAATAAAAGACATACAATGAAACTGTAAGAAATAAAACAAATTGAATACAAAAGTTTGAGTTAATTTTAAATATAGCATAATTTATATGTGAAAGATTAAAAAAAATTTAAGTTTTTCCTATTAGTGACGTGCGTGTTAATAATAGTTAATTTGATTTTGTATATTGATGGAATATATACTCTGTAACGTATCATCATATTATCATTACTATTGTCATTATTTACTTGATTAATAAAGAAAAATAGATCGTTTTTTTTTATACTAAGATGTTTTCTCACTTAGTAACTGCAATCTAGAATTTGTATCTACTAAAACGAATTATACAGAGTAATTTAATTTTATAATTAATAACATAATTTTTAATAATTGTATGATTTTTCCTTCATTTATAAAACAATACCAAGATTTATTTTTAAAAATCAATCAGAATATATCCAGTTTACAAGAAAATTCAAAGAATACTGTTATTTATTGAAAAGATTATTTTTTAATTAAATATTGCTTTTTTTGCTTGATCAGTCAATTTTTTGCTTTTGCACAGTGTAAATAGTTGTCTAACTTATAGTTATACATTTCAAAATCGACTTTGTACCTTTTATATAGCCGCAAGACCATATCGGTGGTCACATTGCGAAAGTATTTGCATGCTACGTCAAAATTTGTGACTCCGGTATGAGTACGCTGTAGTCTGGGCAAGTAGATGTTATTTTTATTTAATTTGAGTTTTGTCAAAATGTAATTGATCTCCCCGAAAGTGTATTCGTCCAGTTTCAGGACGAAATTGTACCTCACATTGCAGACTGCACAGTGAGTATGATATTGGGCCCAGTGAACGTCATCGTGATCCACTGGTTGTTTCATCAACCATTCTAGAAATTCTCGGAAGCTGGGTACCACCTTCAGTCTGCAGAGAGACAGATTTTATACTACATTCTATATTACATGAATTAATTATAGAACATTAGAGATACAAGCATTTGTTGTGTACCTTCTGTCCGTCAAGAATATTCTTTGCAGAATGTTACCACCCGATATGTTGAAATGAAAGAGTTCCGACCTCGAGAGATGAAGAATTTGACGAGCGTAAAGCCAGGATTGCGCGGTGTACTTACTGTTGTCTTCGATGCGATCTCTATAAATTTTAAATTAATATTTATTCAATAATTAAGCAATAAGGGCCCTAAACGATCAAGTGTTAAAATAATTTTGTGTGAATTTATATACTACATGTATGTAATCTTTTTAAACAGAATGCCAAGAGATCCGGGTTTGTATCTCTCGACCAAGGTAATAATTTTTACAAAAAATTTATTTACAATTTTTGAGCCTATTAACATCTTTGCAATAAGATGCTTGATTGAGCATCAAATCATTAAATGTTTGTCAGTAGTTCAATTGGATTGCGTTTCAAGACCAAAAATAATTTCAGCGTGCGGTTTAAAATGTACTTACATGTAGTATATAAATTCACACAGAATTATTTTAGCACTTAAGATCCGTTTAGGGTCCTTATTTCCTAATTATTGTATAGTCATACATAACGATTTTATTCAAAATTTTATTAATATTTATTCGTTGAGATTCATCTTGGCATTATAAAACAATAAATTGACATAAATTGGAATTTTAAAATAATAAAATTTGTACTTCTCTCTTCAATTTGTGAAAATCGTATCAGTTATCAATTTGAAATGTTGCTTCAGGATATTTTTCATAACAAAATTAATTACCGGTATGATGAGATGAGCCGTTGAAATGGATGTCTGACTATAAGTAATTTAAAGATTGTATTGTTGCTAGCAAAACGCTGCAGATCTTCCAAATTTTCTGGCGATAGAAAGTCCACTTCTCTAGAAATGTATATCGAATCATTATACATATTAGTAATCTCGTCGTCATAATTGACATTTTGTACATTATTGGTTTATTATTTTCTTATAATATAAATTATGCCAAATATAAATAGAAATAAGCATATAGCCACAACGCAAAATGTCATTTGCAAAAATCCTATTTAAAAGAAAAGTAAACGTTTCGGTCAAGTTTTGATCATCCTTAGTACATAAAAAATCAATTATATAAAAAATGCGCAATATAAAACAATGATAATTGCTGGATGTTAACAATAAAAACATAACATCGGAAAATACAAACAGTAAAAACGCAAAAATTGGAAGTGCATGTTTTTAAGGTAAAAAATAAAATTTTTTTTTTAATTCTACCAATATGAGCCAATACAAGTTGTTTGTATGTATTAAAACTATTAAAATCTATGGTCCGTATTTAGACACGTTTTTATTAATAAAAGTGCGCTTTTATCTCTAAAATTCTAGTATGCGTAACGTAAACTATAGCATGTTAGAGCGCTAACAACATTATAAGCGCGTTCTGGATACGGGCCTAAATCTATACATGTTACACGTTTCAATCCTCGATTTGAGTCCTCATCAGTACAAAGAATTATGACTTAAATCAAATAAAAATCTTCAAATAAACTCCAAAACATAATAGTAAAACGATTTTTGTTTCTTAAAATCTGTTATGGATTTTTATTTCTACCAGAATTGAACTCGGAAGCTTCTGGCATGATAGATCGCAATGCACTGCTATAGTCTGGTCTACCATGCCACACTTGTGCTCAGAATAACATCTAATAATAAATATATTAAGAGAGAGTGTAAGTATTTAATTATAATTAATATTAGTTACTTGTAAAGATCATGATCGACTTGTCGATTGCTCATGTCAGAAAATAATTTGGTGAAACTGGTGGACGCAACCTTGCGAATCCAACAATATAACGACTTATGTTCGGCATTGTATAAAAAATGCCTTTTGACAAGAGGAGTCTTCAGCTTGTACTTCGCGCAGACGTTCGATATCTGTTGGAGTAGAGTCGCACTCTTCTGTTCAATTAAATTTTTTTAAATAATTATAATATATTTTAAAAAATTATTTTTATGTATAATGTGTAAAATTATTTGATAATCGAAAAAAAAAATGAAATAGAGAGAATGAAATATATTATGAAAAAAATTTTTTTAACTTTAAATTTGAATAACTTTTAAGATTCTCAAAAAACTTTTTTATTTTGATTAATAATGTTTATTATGCAAAAAGCGATTAAAATTATATTTTGAGTTCATATACTTCTAGTAATATAATTTCCAAATTCCTTGTATCTTCCTCGATAGTATAGTGGTTAGTATCCCCGCCTGTCACGCGGGAGACCGGGGTTCGATTCCCCGTCGGGGAGATTTTTTTTTATTTCTTATTATATAATTTATCTTAAAATCGACATATTTTTAGTTTTATCTTTCTCTTAGTTAAATACTTATTTAAATTATATATACCTGCATATCAATGGTTCCACCCTCTAATTCGTCTTTCCGCAATATGTTGATCTCCAAATCGACATTCTTAATTATCCTATCTGAAGTTGAAAAGTGAGTCGTTTGTGGCTGATGCTTGATCGTTACGCTTATCGTTTCTTTTATGTCGCAGCTTGTTCTCGTTTTAATTAGAATTATGCAAACAAGAAAGTATAACATTATACACAAACTATATTTGAAAAATTGCGCTTTAACAGACATAATGAATTAAATATCGCGAAGGAAGTTATAAACTTTAATGATACATTTTCATTTTGTAAAAATTTATTTTAACAAAATTTAAAATACCACTTGAATCCTTTCAAACTCTATAATAAAAGAATTTATGAAAGAGATTAGAATTAAATCTTTGATGTCAAAACAGCTGCGATACGTTGGAATCTTTCTGCACTTCTGTCTCCCAGAATTAGAAATACAAGTTGGAATATATCTGCTTGAAAATACCCGTTTTGTGTGGGCGTGTGATATCTCTTATCGCTTGCTGTTTTCCTGATTTCGTTTAGACGTTTTTTTCGAATTGTTTATTAAAAAAAAAGGTTTACAGTTTACATAGTAAGGCAACATAATGAAGTTTATAATTTTTATATGGTACGTTTTATATGTTATCTTTTAAAACTGTTGTTTAGAGAAACATACATTTTCCGTTTGTGTGAGATCGTTGTACGCTTATCAAGTTTCCACTTAGTCTAATCTCCGTTCTTATTTTAATCGAGCGTACTGTTCATCATTTTGTTCTTTCGTTCTAATCTGGAAACACGGTATAAATGTGTTTTAGTCACATCGATCTTTCTTGCGATTAACAATTATTTAATGATAATTTTAAGAAATAATTAGCATAACAACGTAACATTCAGAGAAGAAAAAACAAAGGCTGTTGTATTATATTATCTGCTATCGTAGTAACATCGTGTACAAAATTACGAGAATATTAAGAAAGCAGTAAAAAAAAATATTGCATTGAGGACAAGATATTGATCGCATCACAGTTGAAAAACGTTAAAAGAAATGTATTTTCAATGAAATTGTTTTCGGTGTAAAACACAGCATAGCAGCGCCTGATAAAGGCAAAAAGAATTCCTTAAGGTGCATTACATATGCGAGAGATGGAACGGTCGAACGTCTTGTCGCCTCTTCTTCATCGTCGTTTCTTTCCACTGTTCTCCAATCCCTGCTTTTTTAATTATTATTATCATTTCTCGTTTCTTCGCCCTAGGTTGACAGCGCCGTCACGTAGCAGACTTCCTATGAACCGCGCGCTTTCTTGAATATCTAACTTTCGGTCCCGCCGCACACCGCGGCGATCCTTCTCACAGAGTAAGATCCGGAATATATCTCGAGTTTTCTATAAAACAGGATTATACGTGTGTATAACACATGCTTTTCTATATGATACTTTTACGGCGGGTTGTTATAAAGGGCTGGTTTTGTTAGCAAAACGAGCGTCACGTACGATCTGAACTTTTTTTTCTTTCTTTGACGAACGTGTGTCGTACGATGTCACTGTTTTCATAGATAAAAGAATAGATGACAAAAAATGTGGTGAAGCATATTTTTGATCCAATAATATCTAACGAAGCGTGACGCGTAAT